TCAAGTTCAGCTCATGTTCAGCTCACGTTCAAGTTCAGCTCATGTTCTGCTCATGTTCAAGCTCAGCTCATGTTCAGCTCACGTTCAAGTTCAGCTCATGTTCAGCTCACGTTCAAGCTCAGCTCATGTTCAGCTCATGTTCAGCTCACGTACAAGCTCGATTCATGTTCAGCTCACGTTCAGCTCATGTTCAAGCTCAGCTCATGTTCAGCTCATGTTCAGCTCATGTTCAAGCTCAGCTCATGTTCAGCTCATGTTCAGCTCACATTCGGCTCACGTACAAGCTCAACTCATGTTCAGCTCATGTTCAGCTCATGTTCAAGCTCAGCTTATGTTCAGCTGATGCTCAGCTCATGTTCAGCTCACGTACAAGCTCAATTCATGTTCAGCTGATTTTCAGCTTGCGTTCAGCTGACGTTTAGCTCATGTTCAGCTGACTTTTGGCTCATATAGCTCTGTCATTTTAAATGATGAACTTTGTCCAGAAAAGTCGGTCTCATCTCTAAAGTTCATCAAAAATGTAAATCTGTAGTTTTTGTGATTTCTGTGACGTTCAGAGAAGTTTCCATTAAAATAAAAGCGCTGAGCGCTGAACGACGGCTGAAATCTGCTGAAAGAAGCTGAAACAGCTAAAAGACGCAGAACACTATCTAAATATTAAACAGACATTAGCTTAAAGTAAGACATGGCTATTTAAAATCTAAAAACAGCAAAGGGCTTGTTAAAACTTAAGTTAGCCAAAAGTAGCAAAAGGCTAAAAGTAGCAGGGTGCTAGTTTCAAGCTAAAGCATCAAAAGGCCAGCTAAAAGCTATCAGTAGCAGAACAGAAGCTAAAACTAGCGTCAGAAGATCAAGTGTATCGTTTAATGATGGACTGTGGGACAGAGACAAAGGTGGGACGTCTTTAAAACGTGACGTTTGTGTCTCCGTGTCCCGCAGGAGTCCACCTACGGGACGCACATCCACGAGAAGCGGGAGGAGCGGGAGGCTCGGTTCTGCAACACGGTGCACGACATCGTGAACAGGGAGGGCCGCTGTCTGATCCCCGTGTTCGCGTTGGGCCGAGCTCAGGAGCTGCTGCTCATCCTGGGTGAGTCCAGAACGAAGACTAACAAAGGATTAAGATCTGAGGACTGGATCAGGGTTCTGCTCAGACCCGGTCCTCTGAGTTCAAAGACCTGAATCACGTTGGTGTTAACTGTCGTCTGTGTTTTGGACCCAGACGAGTACTGGCAGAACCACCCGGAGCTCCACGACATTCCCATCTACTACGCCTCGTCTCTGGCCAGGAAGTGCATGGCGGTCTACCAGACCTACATCAACGCCATGAACGACAAGATCCGCAAGGCCATCAACGTCAACAACCCGTTCGTCTTCAAGCACATCAGCAACCTGAAGGTCAGTGAGCGCGCTCAGTCCGCCGGCCCGCCCGGCGCCGCCCTCCCTAACGGCTCTGCCTCTCCAGAGCATGGATCACTTCGACGACATCGGGCCCAGCGTGGTGATGGCGTCCCCCGGGATGATGCAGAGCGGCCTGTCCAGAGAACTGTTCGAGAGCTGGTGCACGGACCGGAGGAACGGCGTCATCATCGCCGGATACTGCGTGGAGGGAACGCTGGCTAAGGTGAGCGCCGGTGACGGTCCAAGTCCTCCGCCGGGTCCAAACAAGGTCAAGGTTTTCTTTGTCACTCACATCTCATGTGGTACACGTGGTGGAACAAAACTGTGTCCACAGGGTCCCAGTCACATCCAACAAAAGTATAAATTGTAAATAAAAACAGTGATAAGATCAAAGATGAACTAAGAAAAACACTAATGGTACAAAAACAGTGCGCTGAACAGCAGCATGAAACAGCACCTGGAGTAACCTGAACGCCTCCTGGGGGGGTCTTTACCTCAGGTGGAGGGCTTCAGGTATCACAGGTGTACGATGGATCAGATCCTCGTCTTCATTAATGAGGGCGTTGCGCCGGTTCGCCATGGTGAGGAAAGAGTTGAGCCTAAAGGCAAAGCTCAGGATTTACTGGTCCGTCTATGGTCCAACCCTCACCTGTGGTCATGAGGTCTGGTGGATTGGCTCCTCGTCTTCATTAATGAGGGTGTTGCTCTGGTCGGCCGTGGTGAAGAAATAGTCTAATGGCATAGCTCTGGATTTACTGGTCTGTGTTTCACCTGTGGTCATGAGGTCTGGATCAGGACTGAAAGGACCAGATCCTGGATACATCTCCATCTTTGACCTCTTATCTGTGGTTGGGTCATGGAGGCAGCAGGTCCAGGAGAAAAACCCAGACTCCCTCTCCTCAAAGACCCTCTCCAGCTCCTTCTGGGGGACCTGGAGGTGTTCCCAGACCAGACGGGATCTTTAATCCCTCCAGAGAGTTCTGGGTGGTTGGATGGAGCGGAGACGAACCTCCAGTTCCTCTCCTGGACCTGTTGCCTTCACGACCTGACCACAGATAAAAGATGGACCTGAGTCCGGTCTCTGAAGGTCCACATCAGTCAGCTCAGTGACCCCGGCTCACAGTTCAGTCTTCTGGTTCTGGTTCTTTCTGTGTCACTGGACCTCTGACTCAACAGTCCAGACCTGGAAACGTGTTTGGTTGATTACTTCTCCTTCGACGTAGAACGCCTCTCGTTAAATCCTGTTTGTCTGACCGGAGCGACGTTTGTTGGACCCGAATCTTTTTCAGCACATCATGACGGAACCGGAGGAGATCGTCACCATGTCGGGTCAGAAGCTGCCCCTGAAGATGTCCGTGGACTACATCTCCTTCTCCGCTCACACCGACTACCAGCAGACCAGCGAGTTCATCCGAGCGCTCAAGCCTCCTCACGTGGTAATCACACGACCCGACGAACGCACACGTGCACGTCCGCTCTCACGCGCTCATCGTCCGCTCTCGGATCTGCAGATTCTGGTGCACGGCGAGCAGAACGAGATGGCCCGGCTGAAGGCGGCTCTGATCCGCGAGTACGAAGACAACGACGAGGTCCACATCGAGGTGCACAACCCGAGGAACACGGAGGCCGTCACGCTCAACTTCAGAGGAGAGAAGCTGGCCAAGGTCCGCACAAACACACACGGCGTCCATGAGTGTGTGATACAGCTTTAACTCCCAGCATGCTTTGCTGCAGGTGATGGGCTCACTCGCAGACAAGAAGTGCTCTCAGGATCAGCGGGTCTCCGGGATCCTCGTCAAGAGGAACTTCAACTACCACATCCTGACACCGTCGGACCTGTCGAGTCAGTACCTGTGTTTATCTGTGTTTGTGAGGACCAGTCTGACAGTTAGACCAACTTTCTGAGGACATGTAGGCTGTTTATAACCTGTGGTGTGTTCAGGGTCCTGTGTTTATAACCTGTGGTGTGTTCAGGGTCCTGT